ATAGCTGGATAGACCAGTAGTGAGCGTGCCAATACCAGAGATGATGGGGCGTCCGGGGTGTCCAGGTTTATGGATCTTGGGAAGCAGATAGAACAATCCTGGTCAGGGGTCAGAAGGTGTTTGTGTGGATTTGTTCCCGAGTAGCTGTAGGGAGGCTTTTAAGGAGACAGAGTAATTTCTTTTGGTATTCCGAGGTGGGATCAGAGGAGAGAAGTTTGTAAAATGTGGTGTTCGAGAGTTGTCTGGTTGCCTCCTGGTTATAGTCGGCCTTATTCATAATGACCACAGCACCACCTTTGTTAGCTAGTTTGATTATAATGTCCAGGTTGGTTTTGAGACTCTGGATGGCATGGTGTTCAGCGTGGCTGAGATTGTGTGTCGCTTGTTGTCGTTTGCGAATAATGTCAGTCTGTGCGTTGTTGCGGAAGCTTTGTATATAGAAATCCAGATTGTAATTCTGACCGTCAGGGGGAGTCCATATAGAATTATTCTTCCTTTTGTGTTGATAGGGGGGATCTGGTAGGTCAGATTGGTGTTCATTGGTGGTTTGGAAATATTCTCAGAGGCGGAGGCAGTGGAAAAAAAGCTTCAAGGTCACCACAAAATTGTATCCAGTTTGTGGGGGACATGGGGCAGAAAGAGAGACCCTGGGACAAGACAGACTTTTCTGCTGGATTGAGTTTGTAGCTGGAGAGGTTAACAATATTATCTGGTGGGTTGAGGTTGTTGCTGTTGTAGCCTGTGGTGTGGAGCAGTTTGGAAAATTTATTGTCTTTTCTTTGTTGTAGAGAATAGAAGTGTGTATAGTAGATTTCTTGTCTGGTGGAACAAAAGTCTTGCAAGGTGTAAGTCGGTGTGGATGTTTGTCCTGAGATGAGACTCTCTAAGTTAGAAATGTCATTCTTGATGGTTTTCTGTTTCTTGTATAAAATACTTATCAGGTGATTCCTTAATTTCTTGGATAGTGTGAGGCAGAGTCTTTCACTGTAGTCAGTGCAGTATGTTGATCTTAACGGATTGTTCACTTTCAGTCCTTTGGGTACGATGTCCATCTTCTTGCACTTGGATAGAAAAATGATGTCAGTACCCATTGGCACTGGTATTCCTACTCCTCGTGAGGAGTAAGAATTCAATGGGAGCATTTTTCCAGTTGACTGCCCACTGTAAGGATGGCTCCGTAGCTTGGCTTAACATAGCTGGAATTGCATATCTTGAGCAGATCTTCCCTTGTAGTGTGGACGTGGCCTTAGGCTATGTCTGCCAGTAAGCCCACTCTTGGTACCGAATATAGCTTTTGTGGCATGGGTCTGGATCCCTGCGTAGCTGTTCCAGTTAGTGTGCCCCTGTTATAAAGGCATCAAGGAGCTTAACCGTTTCCTCTCCCCTCGTATGTTGGCAGGACCCTGGAGAAATCATCGTCTTCTCTCTCTAAACCAGCAGTTCCCAACCTTTTCCCGATGGGGACCCATTTTGACAAATCAGGAAGACTTGGTGACCCAAGGCAATTAAAAAAGGGGGGGTGGAGGGGCAGAGCCACCTGGGGAGACACTTGGCGACCCTTTTGAAATGTAATGGCCACCCATATTTGGGTCCCGACCCATAGGTTGGGGAATCCTGCTCTAAACTAACTTAACTAAGTGTACGAACATAGTCTGTGTGCTGCCCTGAAACACTGATGCTCTCGTCAATCTGTAAGGAAAAAACTGGCGCTTTTCAGTCCTTTTTACCACTTGTTCTCATTTACCGCTGGTTATAGCCTCCCTACAACGGCCCAGCCGAGTGGCAGCGTCTTTCCCACTCGTAATCTCATGTGCAAGAGGGGGGCTCCTTTGCGCTGGTGGTTAAAAGCGAGACAGCGTAGGGTGGTTCCCGTGTTCTTGTTGTCACTGTTGCTGACTTGTATACAACAGGATTTTGTTGCTTAAATTTGTGACCTTTCCTTTCCAAAAATTCCAGCCTTCCACATGTCTGCAGGGGGTGCTGTTGGTAAGTGTTGCTGGAGTTGTTTGAGTTACACACTGAGGACTTGGATTGTTTATAAGTCAATGGAAGTCAATTCACGTGCCAGATAGGAACTGCAGTGTTTTCTGGGTTCTTTCTCTTGCACTTATAGCTCCTGATTCCTGCTCCACCCTCTGTCAGCTCGAGCTTGCCTCTTCATACCACAGACTGTCGTGATCTTGTTCTTACCAATTAGTTTTTCAGAAACTCCAGTACTGTCTGTATTTTCACGACCTGTTTTTTCCTGCCTCTTATTAGCATGGGGCTTGGTGGTCTCCATACGCCACCGAAGTGGAAGGCCACATTCCATGATGACCGAGGCCTTGCTTACGCCTGCTTGCTATGGCATGCCCAGCTCTGAAGGCAGAGCCGAGAGTGGCTGTGCTGGAGGGGTGCTCTGAAGCCAGTGGTCCATGCAGGCTGCTGCAGAATTGTAACGGTGGCATGGTATTGCCAC